TGAAAGTTTTATTATACTGTCATAACTTGAAATTATTAGTCTTATATATGTTATTTATAAAATTTTCACACTCCATCTCCATTTTACAGGAAAATAGATTACTGGTTAGATTCAAAAATCCAAGTTTATTTAGGTCCATTTCTGTGAACAATATATAGGAAAACAACTGCACTTATTATTCAATTTTTTAATATTTAGTAAGTGAGAATTTTTTTTATCCAAGTGTATTTATATATAATCTAAAAAAAATAGTATGAGTTGAAATGTGATGGCAGAGCTGGGGTTCACGAGGCGGTGGGATGGGTGGACAAAAGAGGGGTGAGGGTGTTTGGGTTGGGGGTGTGGAGACAATGAACTTGAGGTTTCACTTAAGGAACTTGTTTTTTCCTACTTGATTAGGATTAGCAAGGTCTAACCCCCCTTCCTTGTACTTATCCCTAATGATTTATTTTTTATGTTTAATAAAAGGTCACTAGACACTATCTAGTGGTAAATTTGCTATAAGAAAAAACTTTTTTTTTTTGAGAAAAATATTTTTCAAAGCATCTCGGTACCACACACCCAAATTGGGATGAGGCATATTTTATCAAAAGATTTGGGTTGATGGACTAGGCTTTGTTTATATTTTGTTGGCATTGGGCTTTAAAGACCGTACAATTTTTGGTGAAATTTCTCTTTTGTTTTGGGCTAAGTACGCAAATACTCATCGTTTGGTAAATTAGTTAAGGGAAAAAGGTCAAAAATAACTTCAACTTTGATTTATCAATTGACTATGCCTTTGTCGTTAAAATAGAGTTATTTTTACCCTCACCATCTATAAACTTGTCACATGTACCCTCAATTGGATGAAAACTCTCAGATCAAGAAAAAATGACCCGGTTTCATTGATTTGTCAGTTTACTAAACATAACTAGAGTTCCTTTTTAAAACATATACAAACAAATCAACCAATCAGCATCTTTGAGTTGCAATCTTTTTTTGTGTGAAGTCTAATGATGACAATGAATCAATCAGAAAATCATATTTACTAGTTTTATTTATATCTCACCATTGAAAAGTGAGCAAAACAAGAGGCACACTGAAACAGTACAGAAAAGATGCATGAAAATATTACTAATTCACAATAACATGTAGTAATCAAACAGTAGCACACAAAGCTGCTGATAACATAGAGAGAGTGCTCCTTCAAATCACTTGTGCAATGGCGAATTTTGGAACCCAGAGTAGATTATCTGATGGAAAAAAGTGACAAATTGGGCATGTTCCTGATGATATACCGAGCACTCGAAAAGATACGTGAGATGGACTCCATTCAGAGGTATCCAAGTGACAAACAGCAATTGCTTTCACTTTATCACCATTTTCGCCACCTAATGAAACCTTGAACACTTTGCTCTTGCTAACTGTGTGATGACAGTAGAAAATCGCGTAAGCGTAAGGCATGGTATGACATGCCACCATCTTAGGAGTTTCTACTTCTTCTGGAGTATCCAAAATAATATACTTTTGAAGCAGGGGAGTTGAATTTGAGAAATGAGTTGTGGATAGAGCTTTGATTTCTGTTTTATCTCCCATTATTTCTTGAACAAAATCAACCATTGCCTTTGGTGATGTGGCACAGTACTTTGTTTCTCCTTTTATAGGTGGAATCCCACATACTTTCAGTGTTTCTTCCATAACTTTCGCCTCTGGAGAGTTACGAGAGAATGAGAAACGTTGAAGGAGGTTTGGGAGTTCCTTTAGTGAAAATGGAATGGAATTAGCTTCTTTCTTGCTCAAGAATTTTGGAGAGGGATAAAGATCCCTTCTTGGAAAGGAGATAAATATTTCTTTTCTTAGCTTTAGATCGTCCATAAGGAAGAAAACTCTTAAAGAAGGATCAATGTGGGATGATGAATGGATATGTGCATTCTTTGTTTTTGCTTCTTGATGATTGTTGGATATCAACGTATTTTGCGTGTCGTCCTTATTCTGCAAGTCACCATATGATGAGATACCAATTTGGGCATCATCTGTTTTGGCTTGTTGATGATTGTTGTCTCCTTTGTTGTTGTATGTCAAGTAATTTTGAGTTTCGTCCTCACTCCGCAGATCACCATATGATGATAAACTAATTTGGGCGTTCTTTGTTTTGACTTGTTGATGATTGTTGTCTCCTTTGCTATTGTATTCCAAGTAATTTTGAGTGTCGTCCTCATTCCGCAGATCACCATATGATGATAAACCAATTTGGGCGTTCTCTGTTTTGGCTTGTTGATGATTGTTGTCTCCTTTGCTATTGTATTCCAAGTAATTTTGAGTGTCGTCCTCATTCCGCAGATCACCATATGATGATAAACCAATTTGGGCGTTCTCTGTTTTGGCTTGTTGATGGTTGTTGTCTCCATGGTTGTTGTATATCAAGTAATTTTGAGTGTCGTCTCTATTTTGCAAATTTCCATATGATGTTGCACCAATTTGAGCAAGTGGAGAGTTCAATATTTTGCCCTGCAGGTTCCCTTCAACCCATTTTTCCTAGCTTCTGCTCCATAAGCAACCTACAAGTCATTAGGAAGAATGCATTAGAAAATATAATGCATGCATTAGAAAATATAATGCATGCATTAGTTTGACTTTGTTTGGTACACTTTTAGTTATACTCTCTATTTGGTAGTATTAAGTTATGCATAACTAATACATGAAAAAATCCATAGTATTAGTAATGCAAAGGGGTTTAACACTTTAACTCAAGTATTATTAATACCAGCATCGCTAATGTCTAGATTGTTAATGCACCACATTCAACAATATTCTTATACATCTTACCAAACGATCCCAAAGTGAGCAACATATAATATAAATGCTCTTAACATTTTAATTACAGTTTATATAAAAAGTGTAGTTAAGAGTGAGGAGAAGAGAGTGATAATTACCAGCTGAATTAGGATATTTAGGGAGAGAACATAAAAACCAAGCTTAAGATCCATTATTGTTCTGTTGAGTCCTTGAGAAACTTTCCTGGAGTTGATAAATAGTAGAAATGTAAAATGACCCCCCAAAAAAA